ATCTTCCCCAAAGAATAAACTGCAGCAGCAGCAGCAGCAGCAGACACAAAAACATTAATCTGCTGATGCCCTTAGCCCCACAGCCAGCCCAAACCCTAAGCCGTGGCTCTCGCCTAAGAGCAGTAGCAGCAGCAGCAGCAGCGACAGCAACACCAGCGGCAGCTGCAGCAGCAACTGCAGCACAGACGGCGACTGCTGCAGCAGCAGCACCACGGACACCAGCAGCAGCAGCAGCAGGAGAAAAGAGCAGCAGTGGCAGCAGTGACAGCAGCAGAGACAATAACCGCAGCAGCGGCAGCAGCAGTGACAGCAGCAGCAGCAGCACGGACAGAAGACACACGAATGAGAGAGTTGTCTCTTGGAGTGTTATCTGCTGCCCATGCTGCAGCTTCAGCAAGAAGAACTCGGACCAGCTTCGGCTGCTGCGTCTGCAACAGCAGCAACAGCAGCAGCAGCAGCAGCAGCAGCAGCAGCAATTCAGGATTTCTTCAATGCAACTGAAAAAGCATGTGTTGCGCATCACTTCTAGTTTGTCTTTCTTTAATTTGTCTCTTTTTATTGTCTCTGTTTTATTTTTAGTTTATTTATTTTTATTTATTTCCTTTTTGCTGCAGCAGCAGGAAAGGAGGCCCCTAGGCTTCAGGTGTATGTACACCTCAGAGCGCGCAACTGCTGCCAGCAGCATCGCAGTTTCTCTTCCGTCTGCGTCTTGGAGGATTTGCTGCACCTCTTCACAGAAGCAGTCCCACCACCACTGCTGCTGCTGCTGCAGCTGCTGCTGCTGCTGTTGCTGCTCGCGCCCTTGCTGCTGCTGCTGCAGCTGCTCGCGCCGTTGCTGATGCTGCTGCAGCTGCTGCTGCTGCCTCGGCTCGCTGCCGCCGCTGACCTTCTTGCTGCTGCTGCTGCTGCTTTTGCTGGTGCTTCTGCTGCTGCTGCTGCTGCTGCTGCTGAGAAAGAAAGAAGCATGGTGGGCCAGCATTGCTGCTTCTGCGGGCCTCATGAAGCGGACTAGCGGCAGCATAAAAAACGCCTGCTGCTGCAGCAGCAAATACCTAAAAAGAAAACAAAAGTAAAAAATAAATTAAAAAATAAAAAAGAAAAAATGAATTAAAGGAACAGGTGAGTGGAGAGACAGTAAAGGGAAAAAAAGCGCATGCAAAGCCAGCGGCAGCAGCAGTAGCTGCAGCAGTAGCAGTAAAAGCTGCAGCAGCAGCAGCAGCAGCAGACGCCAGTAGCAACAAAAGCAATAGCAGCGGAGCAGCAGCAGCGGCAACAGTAGTAGCACAAGCAACAGAAGCAGCAGCAGCACACACAGCAGCAGTAGCACATGTGGCAGCAGCAGCAGCACAAGCAGCAGCAGCAGCAGCAGCAGCAGGGTAGCTGACTCTTTAAAGGAGAACAGCACATGCACGCTGCGCAGCCACATGGAAAGCTGCTGCGGTTTTATATTTTTGGTTTGCTGCAGTCGAGCAGCAGCATCTGCCAGCAGCAGGCGCGCCCCGGGAGGAAGGGAGGATATCCTCTTGCAGCCTGCTGCTGCTGCTGCTGCTGCTGCTGTTGCTGCTGCTGCTGTTGCTGCTGCTGCTGCTGCTGGCCTTGTGGCTGAGGGCGCTCCTGCTGCAGCTGGGGCTAAGAGTGCTGCTGCTACTGCTGATGTTGCTGCTGCTGCTGTTGCTGCCGGGACATCTGCACATGTCGTTGCTTCTGCTGCTGCTGGCGTTGCTCCTGTTGCTGCTGCTGCTGCTGCTGCTGCTGCAGCTGCTGCTGCTTCGGTTGTGGTGGCGAGCTCACGCGTCTCTGCTTTTGCTGCAGCCAGTGGAGGGGATTCTGCAGGCGCTGCTGCTGCAGCTGCTGCCTCTGTTGCTGCTGCGGCTGCCTGTGTTGCTGCTGCTGCTGTCTCCTCTGGTGTTGCCGCTGCTGCCTCCCTTGCCGCTGCTGCTGCTGCTCCTGTGGCGAAGGCTCGGCGGCAGCAGGTATTGAGGTGTAAGTACACCCCAGATGCTGTTAAGAGCCTCATATGTAGAAAGTTAAAATCAGCTCCGAAGCATTCTTAGTGTAGGGTGTAGGGTCTAGGGTTTAGGGTTTAGGATTTAGGGTTTAGAACCCCCGAAAACCCAGTTCTACACAGTTGAAATCCTCTGCCTAGGGAGCAGAGATTACTTCTTGAGCTCTAGGGCTTAGGGTTTAGATTTCACAGTTTAGGGTTTAGGGTTCAGGGCCTAGGGTTTAGGGTTTAGCGTTTGCGGCGCAGGGTTCAGAAGCTCGGGGCCCCTGGGGGGCCCCCAAAACTCCCCTTATCTTCTGTTGCGCATTAGACCTTAAATAAACTCAAAAGAGCAGAAGTGATTCAAAGGATGGAGCGAAAAAAGAAGGAAAAAACGCAGTTTCTGGGGTGTACATACACCTCAGGTATCGGGGGCTGTTGAGAACCATGGGAAGCTGGATCTGGGGATCTTCTCCAATTGAATAAATAATTCGGCGCATTTAGAAATGAAAACCCGCAAATTAAATCCATTTAAGCTATTTTAATCTTTTATTATCTTTATTTATTTCTTTTCGTCCCTCTCGCTCGACTGTTGAGCTGTACGTACACCTCCGCCGGCCAGCAGCAGCCACAAGTCAGCGGGGCTTCGGCGCGCTTTAGTTTTATCGAAAGCTGCATTATAATTGTAATTAAGTAGCTTTACTTGAGTCGAATTTGTTTATTTATTTATTTATTTTCCATTTGTTTCCTTATTTGCCTCTTGTTTCAGCATGAACTGCGCGCCGCCGTCCCCGGCGCGTTGCTGCTTGCGGCTGTGACACAAACTCTGAAAGACCCTTG